TTGCAGTCTGAGCTCGTGTTGCAGACAGTCTGCCGTGGACTGGGACCGTGTCTCGTGAAGCCAAACGGTCGTCTGCATTCGGGTAATGGTCTCCTCTTCCAACGTGCCTCCTAACTTCGGTTCTGATGACGCAAACCGGTCAGAAGACCGCTCCGTGGATGGTTCGGGGCGGCAAACCGGTCGCTCCATTGATCGCCAGGTCTTGTCATGAAGGTAGCCCGTCTTGGCCTGTCAGCCATGAGTCTTGTTCGACTTGCCGAGCCGCCAACCTGCCAAATTACCAACATGCCACAGCACCGCATGATGCGCAGCGGCTCCCAGAGATTTGTAAGGTCCATGACAATGCATTGCAGCACCTGAAGACAGGTCGGCATAAAATTTTGGTTGGCGTCTGCGCATGCGGCTTTCTCAGAGATCAGTCTCCCGGCAAGCCAGAAGCACTGGCCTGGTCTGGTCTGGCCTGTTCTGGTGCAGGCTGCCTGTAGACTACTGACCTTTGATTTCGTGAGAACTGAGCTGACAGGGCTTGTTTCTGTGCGAAGGTACGTACCTACCTACCCCATCCAGTGCGGCAGGTGCATCCCAGGAACCCCCACTCGGTCTCTCCTTCCCTGCAGGGATCCCTCGTGAGAATGAGATGGATGCCCTTGCCCATGTCTATGCCCTTGTTCCTACTGCCCCTCCTTTGATGTCCCACTGTCCCGCGCCGCTCTTTCACCCCCAAACTACCTACCTACCACGTACGCTGCCTTCCTTGTCCCGCCTTGCCTTGCCAACCTCTCCTCCTCCGCCCGCGCCCCCCCTCTCCCGCCATTGCTTCTCCATTCTACCGGTGCTCTCCATCTTCGGTTCAATTCTGTTGTCGCAGCATGGACTGGTCCATCCTGTCCCGCATACCCCCCCTCGTCGAACCCCCTCACACGCGCCCTCACACTCTTTCGACTGGTGGGATATGGGTGTATGTGGCTCCCATATGGATCAAGTACCCTTGCACACTCGCCTGTCGCGCAGCAATAAGGCACTTCATCGGAGCCACCATCCCGACGGCGGCTAGCTCACGAGGAACAGACAGGGCCAAGCTTTTGGCGGCTTTGGCCCACCGACCGACTCCCGAACTCTCTCTCAGCCAGGTCGTTGTCGATGGGTGGGTGAATGGTCCTCCGCAACACGCTTCCAACACCAGAAAGGCCGTGGGTCCGGTCCACTCATCGTTCGAACCATTAACGCCTAAGACCACTTCTACTAAGATGGTATGCCTTCTTGCGCCCGCAGCCCAGGGACTATTCCTGCGCTGCCACAAGAGGCGAGTCAGCCGTGAACAATAAGGCAGCGTCCTTGATCCGGGCGCTCGGGTACAGCATGGCACGCTTACTACAACATGCACACATGGGCTCTCCGTCCAGCCTCGTTCGTTTCGCCTCGCAGCCTGACGCTTTGACAGTGGAGGCTTTCCATTTCAAGACCCAATTCCACGAGCATAGGCCCGATCGATGTACATGGCCACCGATTCCCTTTCCCTATCCTCCACTAAGCGAATGCCCCAATGCAGAATCCATCGCTTTGCCGCTCAGCCTCACGACGAAGCCGAATTCTTCTGGCTACGGGACGGCTTCTCCGTCCAACTTAGAATTTGCTTGGCATTCGAGCAAAATCCTCCTCACTCATCATTTCAACGTGACAAACCAAAGAAGCCTCCGAAAATCTTCTCCTACTTTGAGCACACTGCGCATCTCGAGACTCCGTTCGAACCCACGATGCCCCACTGGACCCTGATTAAACCTGTTCCCACGTCATGTTTCACACGTTGGGGAATTTGCGCCGAAACCCCCTTGTCAAATGACGCCGGCTGCCGCACGATAGGTGACGAAAATGCATGTGTCCTGAGCCGTTGCCAAGACCCCACGATAGCCGGGCTGGCAGCCGCGCTGTACTACGGACCACACTGAAAGCTACTACCCAGCCTACCTAGGTGCCCATAAGGCAGAAGCAGCCAGAGAGGACTCTAGAGGCTGCCGAGCTGCCGCCGCTACCTGTTCACTGTGGGTCCTCAAGTCTTCAGAACCATGGTCAGGTTACTTGAGTAAACACCGAAGCCTCGGGCGAAGGGGTATCTTGCCCGAACCACTCGTCTTCCGGCCTGAAAGCCCTAACCATGTCCCTTGCCTGTGTCACGATGCCGCGAGGCACTGCACTCGCAGCGGTGTTCACTCAGCACGGAGCTGCTTCCATACCGCGGGTTGCGATCCAGCCATGTCGTCATTCCGTTGCCCAACGCATCGTGCCTGGGGCACGCTTCTTCGCGAATCTGACACCCACGTTGCCATCTCGTAATCAAATTGAGGCAGTACGTCAAACTTTCAGGGTCCTACACGCTATGTCCATAGCTAATCTCAAAACTTTACGCAACACAAACGAAGGTCCCCATGAACACATGCGACGTATTCCCCTATTAGGATAATCGACAATGGCGAGGAAAGTGACAAAACGATGCTTGTGGCAGGCCCCACGTTCGAACTTCACATGCAAAATGGTGAACGCTGTCTTCGAGAAGCTTCAAAAGAACGTCGCACTTCCCACATGGTGGTCCCATTACCATCAAAACTGCACTGTAGTCAACGTCTCGAGAAATCGCTCAGCTGGAGGTTGCATGTAGACTGCCTCGTCCTTCGCGGCAAGGGAGTCGCACACTCCGGTATCGCTACATTGTCAATGTTCGACCGAGCAAAGGCCGGCCTACCTGAAAGCGCTGTATTGAGACGTCTAGACCGTCGCGCGTTGTCGGGTGGCCTGGGTCGTGCCTAATTTTCCCGATGAGACCCATCGTTAACCCCTCCAAAGGCGCTAGGTCTACCCACAACGTCGCAGGGGCACTGATAACCAACGATTGCTGTTCATGCGAAAATTAACAGCAGGCAAAGCATGCGTACCACGATTGTGTCACAGTACTTTCAATGAGCAGTGAACCTGTACATGGCGCCCGGATTTGCACATTTCCTTCCGCCTCTTCGGTGTTGACAAGACGCTAGCTCTGCGTCACCTACATGTTAGTTCGGGTTCCGGGCCGTTCCTGAAGCCTGGGCCCTCGATGTCGCTGCGTCTTTTTGGCTTTGCTTTTTGAGGTTGCTTGGGCCGACCTCAGCAAAAGTTGCACGAGCTCTCAGGAGGTTGGTGAGATGCCAGCCTCCAGCTACTCTCTGGCCACCAAGACGGTCCAGACGCTCCTCAATCGAACCGAGCCAGTCAGATGGCCTCAATAAGCTCGCATGCAAAGGCACTTCTGCTTATCAGGGGTTGTTCGTATCCTTTGTTGCGGCCTCGATTGGGGACCAGGTGCGCACCATCCGCGTCGATCCGAGACCACTTGTGGCATCCTTTTCGTGTTCTCGTCCGCGAGTGGCTCACAGCGCGGGCTGGCCGGCGTGGGGGTTCAATACCACCCTAGCAGAAGCCATCATCAGGTCATGCGACACTCAGCCCGCCTTGGGCCAGCAAGTCTCCTGTCTTCATTTCTTTCCTTGCTCGAGTGCCATGCTGTGCGCATACCGTCGGGACCAACCTGGGGTGGGAGGTGTTTTGTGAGTGCCATACCATGTTGTGCCACCATCGAAGTCAGCGAGCATGTCGTAAAGGTTGCTCAGGTCGAGGTCGAGGTCGAGGTCAAGGCGAGGCCAGGCGAGGTTGAGATCGACCAGGAAAATCCGCAAAGTTGCTTAGACGTCATGACTACCATTGCTTGATCATGGTGATCCAGAATACGATCATGGCGGCCCGGCATTGTTGTGGGAGCATGCGCATTCTTATAGTTGGACGCCCAAGCCCAAGCTCCCGCGCACTCCAGGTCACGTCAAACCAGACAAACTTGCCTCACACATCTGTCTTATCGTTGACGCAAGGGTCGCAAACAAATCATGTTGGTTGCTACCTCCTCGAAAAGGGCAGCTGGGCACATGCGATGGTGGATCCGCCAATGAACAGGTTCGATGCTGTCTTTTTGGTGAATTCGCAAAAGGACCCTGCGTTGACGATCCCCTTATCTAGGAATGAACATCTCCGGCCTATCTGTGTTCTCCTTCTATATCTCACCGCATAATGAACCTCAATCAACGCTCCGAACACTCTCTGCGTGTTGCTTGTCGATGCCAACCCCCATGTATCATTAAGCCTTGTGGCTGATCAGATGCTGGTTTCCCGGCGCCTTGGTCTCGGCGGCGGCGCGCGTGATGCTGCACGGCTACTTGATACACATGCATGTCGCTTGTGGGATCGTGACCCGGGACTGCACCCGTTGACGCAGGCTAATCTCACTTATTCCTGGTGGCCGTGCTACGTCTACTCATATCTGGAGAAACCCCGCATCTCCGGTTTGGAGTCGGAAGGTTGGGAATGGATCTACAGGAAAACGACTGGCGTCCTGCTGATATTTGGGTGTGGTTGAGACTTGGCTACTCTTACGTCAGAGTGCCTAGTGAGACGACTTCACTAATCTGTGTCATTCACGATTGATGCCTACCACAGCCCGCCGGTGTACCTAGCGATGATCATGTCAACAACTCAGGCGTTGTCAGTCGATCGAACCATGCCGCAACCGCAATCATGAAGACCAAAATGCTGATAAAATACAGTAGGAGATGCAGCAGTCAAAGAATTCGCCAGCTATATACTCCGGTTGCATATTGCATGGTTATTGTCTGGATATCTCCAGCCCTGACAGAACTCGCGCTCGCATAATCTCGATACGAAGGAACAACATCACAGGATCCAGTTAGGCTTTTACGGCCGCACATGTAAACACCTATAGTTGAAAATGACCAGCAGATGAATCTGGAAGTAGTTTCCATGGAGGCTGGCCGGCAAATGAGCCGCATCAACGCGTGGGCAGTTGCCATGACGCCTCTGAGCAGTCAGCTTGTCGAAAGTCGGTGTCTGAAGTTACTTAGGGACGGAGAATACCGGTGTATAGAGTTTTCAACTTCTAAATAAAATAAAAATCTTAGGAGAAGATCCTTTATCAACCTTGGTGGGTAGGTACTGAGACTAGTCTTGGATTCTACTCAACACCTCTTACTGTCTTGTCGAGGAATACCGAGCCTCCACCCGGTTCATCCATGACATAGGCATATTGGTATTGGTATATACGACTCTGCTGTAGTTGAGTTGCATCTCTTCACAATCTCTTGCGGAAGACTCTCACACTGGGGTGAGTTGTTGTATGAGAGTAGGCCGACATACAAAGCCATGTGTCACAGCAAAGCTCGTTCATTTACCACACCCAAAGTCACAAAACAATCCATAATTCCATGATCATAATATAACCTTGCCATGCTGTAACGACCGCATGTAATACTCAACACCAGAAGACACGTCCCCTTCAATCAGCAGTCCATCCTCGACAAGCAAACCTGTACACAAAAGAAATACGCAGTTGTGCAATATGTACCATGACCATGGACCTTCTCACACGACATAGGCCTTCTCACAGGAGGCCAACTCCGACAACGACAGCCGCAAGGCAAGCCGCGGCAGCCTTGACGCCTCTGAGGTCATCACCGCCGGCGGCCGCGCTGTTATTGTCGTCGTCGTTGCTGTCGTTGCCGTCGGTCCCTGTCGCCGCAGGCACGCCAAAGGTCGTTCGGACGGTTTCGTCTCCACTGACGGCTTCAGCAACAACAATGGTCGACAGAGCAGGACTGCCGCTCGCCGAGCCTCCCCCCGTCACCGTTACAGTCACCGTGTCGGTTTCATACCTCCAGCCCGGGCCCCGGTTCCCCCAACCATCGCCATCGCCATCACCCCAGGGACCCCAGCCCCAGCCATTGCCGTTCCAAGGGCACCCCGTCACCGTCACGACCGTTGCCGTGGGGGTTGCCCAGTCCCACCACTCGGAGTCGTACGAGTATGTGTAGGTGCCAGTGGTCGAGCAGGTGGACCAGCGCGAGCATGCGGATGCGGAGCGTGAGGTGTAGCTGCTGTAGGCGGCAGCATCGGTGGTGCAGGCGGAGGCGAGACACGATGCCAGACCTGTGGCCTCGGTACAGATGGCTGCTGGCGTGGGAACCGCAGATTGCCAGTGTGACGAGAGACAGGACGACTATACGAACCCACTAGTCAGCATTGAGCGGGGGGGAGAAAGCAGGGTCGGATACAGGAGGAGGGAAAATAGTCGTACGGCGCATTGAGGTCCTGGGCCCTTCCATCCATCTCCCCATCCCCAATTCCAACCGTCCTTGTCGTCGTCGTTATCCCAGGGCCAGGGCGAATCAGGAGAAGCACGAATACCCGTGGCGGCGGAAGCCAGCACGGCGGACAGGAGGACTGCTCTCATGTTGGCAAACTTGATTCTCGCTCGTTCCCGTCAGTCGTTATTGATGTAGAACAAACAGGGGCCGTTAGTGTGGTTGCAGGAGCGGCGCGTTCAATCCCGATGAGTTGCTAACTGTCGTGATATGCTGGTGACATCTAACGACAAGCAAACAGCATGCATCGCCAGCCTCTTATACCACTGACCACAGAAGACATCATGTCGTCAC